CATCATCGTCACAGCCATAACAATAACTTCAAAGGCACCAAGCCTGCAGGCCTCATTAGGGACAATAAACACCAGTGCCTTTACATGTTAATTGAAGGCAATTATTCCTTTTTTTAAAAAAGCAGAAGAACAGCACAGTCTCCAGAACAGCTCTTCTTAAAGCTTTCTATTCATCAATGTTTTCTTGACTGCTTTGATTGCATTAAAAAGGGAAAAAGAAAACCTTTCTAACTGAACTTATTCAATAGGCACCATTAGTTACTGCTAAATTGTGTCTCATTTGAAATTTGAACTGAATTTTAAGGGGAACAAAGTTGCTATCAGCCAAGCTAGAGAATTTCTGAAGTAGTGAGGAGTGTTGTACCTTCCTACCTGGGACTCACAGGAAATATTAATAGAGCTTGTTAGACTTATTATGCAGATGGTAATCACATCAGCCTGCCTTAGAAATGCATGAGAAATTCATTTCAGGTCATTTTTCTTCCTCCAGACTGAACATAGTCTGACAATCTGGGATACATTTCCAAGCTTACAATGTGATTCTGGTCAATAAATAAATACATTCCATAGTGTGAACTCATTCTGAAACTGTGCAGAAATATACTTTAATTTTATGTGCACATTTGGAAAAATATGTTCGAGAATACGCATATTTTGTGGTAGAAAGAAAACACAAAGCTCAGATTATGACTTGAGTCAGAACAAACTTTGAGGTGGAATGTGGAAAAGTTAATTAACTTCAACTTTGCTGATCTGGGCAACCCAATCCTTCCTAAAGTGGTGGATTCCCATTTTGCAAATTCTCTCCATGCCTCCTCTAATACTGAACATTGGCTAAAGTCCAGGGTTAGAATGAGCTTAGAATGAACAGAGGAAGGAAGGAGGGGAGATGGTTCCAGCAGCAGCATCTCTTAGAACATGCTGTTTCTCCCAGGGCTACTGGGACCTTGCTTCTTTGCCATACAGGATCAGACTGAGAATGGAAGGAGAAACGACCCCCTTTCCTTCTCCTTGCAGCTGTCTCCTACTTGATAAAAGAAGCTTTTGGGTGTTATGGGTTGGGCAGGTTGGTATGGATTGAAAAAGAAATCATTCATGCAGTGGTAATAGAATCAGGGTGTTGTTATACTCTGAACTGGAGAGGGCTTTCTTACATGCACTTTGCACTTGAAGAAACCTATATTATTTTAACCCAGAACTGTGTGAATTGGTTTACATAAGAAAGGCAAAGATTTTGGGGAAGGCCCTGCACTTAACTTTTCATCTCATCAAGTTGGTGGCCATCCCAGCATTCTGTGGAAGTGGATCCCACAGTCTCGTGGTGGATCTCATCTCACATATGTGGTATGTGAATAGGTACTTCCTTTGGTCTACCCCGAAATTCCCAACCATCACCCACTGAGGTGCAGTAACAGGAGAGAGAAAGAAATAGTTCTTAGGCTGCTTTTCTCCATACCTTGGCTAATTTTGCAAAACTCAGAAGTCCCCTTATTTTTCCTGATAAGCTACCCACCCCCATCTCCCAATTGTAACTTGATATGAAGCAGTATTTTTTTAAATGCTAAAGTTTTAATGATCCTCTTACACTCAACTATCTTAGAAGTACCTTGAAAACATGAGTGATCTCATTCCAAAGAAACCAAAAATTTTCCCTGTCTCCAAAATTGGTCCAAAAATTGTGGCTCACCTGAGTTTAACAAAAAGCTTTTGGGTTGTTGTTGGTGTGCGTTTTTACACATCGGGACATATTATTTTCCCCATGAGAACATGAATGAAAGATATTTTGAGAGCACACCATGTGTACTATAATGATAGATGAGTGTGTCTTGTAGATAATTTGGAAAACTTAAACAAAGCAAAAAAAAAAAAATCCCTACTTCCTATAGCCCTTTGAAGCAAAACAAAAGGTTGAAAGTGTTACTTGGCATGGATTAATTAATTATCCATAATACACTAGAACAGGGAACAGAAGGCATTTTCTAACCCCTGCAGGTGAGATGTACAACTGCAGTTCATTGAAGATCTTTGCATCATTCCATTAATGCTTGCACTCTGCTTAAAAGCAAGACATTAATACATCGACAAAGCTTTATGCTGCCCAAGATATCCTAGAGATGGCAAAGGAAAGCTTAGAATGCTTCAAGTGTTCCTGCTTTAGCACAAAGGGCTCCATTGCTCTGAAGCGAATGGATCACAACCAGGACAAGGGCTGCATTGTTGCTAAGACAGGTGATGTCTTTTATCTTCCCTCTTTCCTGAGATGTGCTGCTCACTTACAGCTATTTGTACAATGGGATGAGGTTGCTAAGCAACGGTCCTAGTGGACTTCCAGAGGGTGGCCAGTTAACTGATTGCAGCAGTGGGGATGACAGAAACAACTGTGTGGACCGAGAAGCAGCAACACAATCTGAATGGAGTTTCCTTCTGTTTCTTAAGTTTGAGGAAATTTTTTAATGCCTCAGATTAAATATCATCTCTTTATTCTACACGAATGCCTGTAAAAATTGCCTGAATTGGATATATTGTCTTTCCCACTCTCCTTTGGGTGGATTTAATTATTTAGGATTCCATAAAACCAAGTCAGTGCCAGTGCTGGGCCTGGATCCAAAGGGATTAAACCAGGCTCATCTGATGGATTTTAAACACCCAACTGGATTTTTCACATATCTTTCAAATAACCATGCCCCAGACCATTTTAAGGCTTCATACTTAGCAGCTTGTCTGGGACCAAGCCTCACTTTATTCATCATTACTGTTTCCAGACAAGAATGATTAGGAAAGAGGGTATGGGGCTGGGTATTATCAGAATATCCATGTGCGACTTTCTGGAATTCTTTATTTTGGAACAGATTTTGAACACACATTGCTTCTGAGTCCATGTACAGTCTGGAAGGTACAAAGTGGTAAATCCCGATAAAGAATAAACTGAAACACATTTTGCCTTCATCCTTACTTGAAGAATAATGTCCATTAGTAAGGGACATTGTACATGTTGAATGGCAAAGGTTGGATTTGGAGTCCAATGAAGGACCATAGGTTCCCACTTTTGAGTATTAGAACTTTGCACACATGGCCTCCAAAATGTTTTGCTCAGAAGGATATCGGTATCCAAAGAAGCGCAAGACTAGCACAGAAGCAAGGATTGCCTCCACATTTCCCTTACCCTCAGCCAATCTCTGAAAGAAGGAGTTGCACCACCTGGTGGAAGCCAGTGGTTTCTTGCCTGCCCCCTCCAAGCCCCCAGGAATGCTTCCTCAGTGGCTCTTCCAAAATACCAGTTCCTATCTTCAGGGCCTCTGCTGGTGTGGACAGAACTGCACCAGTTGAGAGGGCAGAAGGGGATGAGGGCGTTCCAAACATGGAAAAGTTTTGGAAGATTTTTCTGAGGTCACATTGGGGACTACCTTTCCTGCAGCCAGTGACATGTTTATTTTAAATTTTCTTTAAAGTTCTATTCTTCTAAAGTTCTAAAGTATACTGATATTCAAGGGAAAGTAAAAGGTCTCACAGGTAGACTACACCTTTATTATCACATTTGTAACCCACCTTTTTCTGCCTCAAAGAGCTCAAGATAGTTTACGATCATCGCTGTTTATCCTCACAACAATCCTAAAAGGTAGGTTAGGCTGGGAGCAAGTGACTGGTTCAAATCACGCAGGGAGCGTCATGACAAAAGGGCATTAAACCCTAACTCTCCTGAATCCCAATCTTGCCATCTAACCACTATGCCAGAGAGCCTAATGCTAGGGCCTTCCCTAGCTTGAGCAGTTCCTATCTTCCATCTCCTTCCACCTCTGGAACTTGAACTGAGAAGCCTAAGGCTTGAAGTTAGAATGACCATATGTCTTGTTATACAGAGCTATTTGACGGGCTGCCCAGTTCCAGTGCTCCATCGAAGGTGGCCGGACAACAGACTGATCACCTCAGTCTTCACCACTATAGTTATATTTTATATCTTTTCTAAATTTGTGTCTGAACATTGGAGCAAGGGTAGGAATTAGGTGGCCCTCCAGATGTTCCCATCAACCCCAAACAGCATGGCCAACAGTGAGGTGAAGGGAATAATATTCCAGCAACAATATTGTGTTGTAAGCCGCCCCAAGTCTTCGGCAAGGGGTGGCATAGAAATGTAATAATAATAATAATAATAATAATAATAATAATAATAATAATAATAGGACAGCCACAAGCTTCACAGCCCTGAATTAGCATATTCACATTTTATTGTGGCGCAGTGGTTTAAACCGCTGTGCTGCTGGGCTGGTAGATCGAAAGGTCGCCTGTTCGAATCTGCACAACGGGGTGAGTTCCTGTTGCTCTGTCCCAGCTCCTGCCAACCTTGCAGTTCGAAAGCATGCAAATGTAAGTAGATGAAAAGGTACCACTTCGGTGGGCAGGTAACAGTGTTCCATGCACTTCGGTGTTTAGTCATGCTGGCCACATGACCATGGAGACTGTCTGCGGACAAACGCTGGCTCCCTCGGCTAGGAAACGGAGATGAGCACCACCCCCTAGAGTCAGGCATGACTGGACTTAATGTCAAGGAGAAACCTTTACCTTATATCTTCTTTCACTCCCTTTGATGGTGGTCACCATACCTTCTTAGGCTTCCAAGCTGGCAGAGGCGGTGCAGTATTGGCATCTGTGAGTGGCAGGCAGGCATGTCCTGTATGGGGCCAGACATAGTATAAGGGGTGCAAATCTAGCCTGCTCTCTTTATCTTGTCAACACTGGGCTGCAACTGAGGGGCACCCAGCCTTCTCGGGGCTACCTCAAGACCTTTCTCTTCTGCATGAAGCAAATGGAGCTGAAGAGACAGACTGTCCCTGAATGGTAAACTGCCTCTCAAGAGATGCAGCCAAGGAACGTGAGGCATGACTTGAGATAGCTGGCAATTACATCGATCCTACAATAGAACATGAAGGCGCAGTACCATTACAGCTCCGTTATGACTCAATCAGTGTTTGAAACAAGGCTCACTTTGCAGCCAAGCAGCTTACCTTTAAATTTCCCTTTCCAAAAGGCCCCCGTGCTGAACCTCCTTGCTGCTCTATGCACCAGCATGATGCTGCCCGTGCGCTGTCCAGGCTGGAAGGCTCCAAGAGTTCAAATGCTCGCTTCACATCAGAGGACCTAGAAAGGGTGAAGTGGCTCTTGCCACAAAAGACAAGACTGAGCCAGCCAGCTGGCACTGAAGGCAGTGACTCACTCATATCTCCAGGAGAGTGTTGCCTTTGGCTCTCATTCCAAGTCTTTACACTCTCGAGTGAAGGTCAAAAGCCTCAAGGAGGAAGGGTGAAAGCCTTGGAAAGGAATGATGTACATGCTGTGATGCAGCAACAGCCAGGAATTTCTGGCCTTTGAAGGCAGAATTCAGCATCCTGAATTGATTACTAAAAATAACTTGCTAGCCTCTGTACTTGAAAAACAGGGAGGGTTGATCGAAGGAGTAATCACACCAGGCATAATGAATTAAGAGTTAAGTATCTCTGTGCAGATTGGTGTAGGAACTCCAAGCAAGAGGCATTCTTTTTGACTTTGCAGTCACAGATATGTGATGGAGGAGACATCATGTGGAAGGCATAACCTCCCACTAGCCCATGGGTTGGGACTGGAACAGGATCCGGCCAAGAGTCTAAAGCCATCTGGTTCATGCTGATGGCAGCTCACAGGGTAACAACTAAAGAGATGGAAGATTATAAAATTTCTAACACTGAGGTCTTGGAAATGAATCTGGGGCAAGATGCCATAGCAGAAAAAAATGTCTTACCAACTGAAAATAGCTAAAGACTAAGCCAATATACAAAACATGGCATGGTTTTAGCATCCAAACTTGATCTCAGATTAATAAGAAAAGGCTAAATAGAATGTTCTATACATAACAAACACCTCAAAGTAGCCAATAGATTCCACCTACAATCTTGTCTGTATGAGAAAAGAGGTATAAACATACTATTCTGCCATTAACATTTGAATTCAATGTGTTCTTTATTGTGTGAGCATTTGTTGTTCTTGTTTTAATAAAAGCTCCCTGCGTTCTCAATAGAAGGACCAGTTGAGCACAACCACAAAGTCACATGGGAATCAGAAGGGCTCTAAATGCAATATCTCAAATATCTCACCAGGGCTTCAGCAGGACTTGGGCAAGGAAGACAAATCTATGAGAGTTTTCAGACACACCTGATTCAATTCCCACTCCTGCTGAGGACTGAGGCTGATAAGCAGGGCCATCCAGAGCCCAACTGAAGAATTTGCTAATCTGCTTATGAATAGTCTTTTACTCATGAGGAGCTTTCTTCTGCGCCTGGCATGCATCACAGCTATGTTTCTGGTCTGCCTTCTGAGATGAGGAAGCTCCTTTGGGGCTGGGTAGTTACTCAATCCCTGTCTCAGAAGTGGTACTATCCTCTTGCGGGGAGGGGTCCATGAGCATCTACCTAAGGGCTTCCTGTCTCCCCACATGTGCTGCATCTCATGGAAGTTTACCTCTAGGACCCCTAACTCTTCCTCTGAAGACGAATGACACCCAGGACAGTAACTGCTCACTCTGGTAGGAGAGAGGCCATGAAATGCTTTTTTTAAGATGGTGCCTATACTTGTTTTTCTTGAGCACCTGTCCAAATATCTTGAAGCACATTTTTAATCAATTGGAATGTCTCTGTTCCTGCAGTTTCCAAAACCAGAAAGATTCTAGTGTAACTGGAGCTTCTCATCCACCCCATGATAATTGGGGTTTTATTGTTGGTTGGAAATTTCATTAGGATGCTGTGTTTTATTTTATTTTATATTGTCTTATTGTTTAACTGCCCCAAGACCATGGTAAGGGAAGGTCTAGAAAAGTTTTAAATAAATAAAATGATTAGAAATGCCATGGACAAAAGCCCCATCCAGGCCTTCTGTATCTGAGAGCTGTGCAGAAGAGAACTTCTCTGGCATGGGACCTGACATTGAATCCCCAACTACAGCTACTGCTTCAACCCAAGTCTTCCTTCTCTTTAACTCAATTGCCTGCCAGAGTGAAGTCCTGCCCCATTTCTCACTCCCCAGGGTGATAAGAGATTGGCACAGGAAAACTGACTTTTTAAAAATTATGCTTATTAAGTTGAAGCACAGAACCATCTCATGGACAGTTAACATAGTCAATATACACTATTAAATTGATGAGTGACCTATATATATTTAAAATGGAACAGCTTGGCAGCTTCTTGTGTCAGAGAGTAATTTACCCTTACTTCAGCATCTTTCCTTTGAAATGCTAAAAGCCTCAATTTGCACGCATCAAATGAAGAGTAACCAGCAGGTGAGAAGTGAAAGCAGAAAGGGAGGAGACTGGCTTGGAGATGTGAGTGCTACCTGGACAAATGTGTGTCTACAATTTTTGGTAAGCAGGTGGTAGAAGACAAGGCAGTAGCAGTTCATTATCTGTCACTTTAAATTAATCTACTGCTCACTCGCTTGCTCGCTCACACACACAACCTATGTAGATTTACTTGGAAAATAATTGCCACTACAATTAATAGGTCATATATCCAAAGAGGTGTACTTAGGATTGGAATGACCAAGAATCAAATGCCTATGCTTTGCTTTATTACATTCAGGACATTACCACTCTGACGCGGCCTGTCAACACCTGTGATAGTGTTACACAGAGGTATCTGAACCAGTCCGTAAGGTCTTCAGTTTCATGTCCCAGATAATGATCAGAAGGTTTCCTATGGGAGAGACAGTGCAGTATCATGTTAGTCTGTTGGATTTGAAGAAAGGAGCACTAGGTTCAAATCCTGTGATGCTCTCTGGATGGCTTTGGGCTTAATCGATCATGCAGGGCTCTTGTGAGCACAAAAGCCATGGAAAAGTGCCAGAGCAGGTTTGGATCTTTCTCTCTTTTTCCTTGAAAAAGTGCTGGCCTCGTCTTTCTTATTCCCTCCCTGTTTCCTTGGGAGGGAATTCCACTAACTAAAAGTGGATTACACATTTACAGCCACTTTGGCCCCAGAGAGCCCCACCGAGGCAATGGAGGGCCTTCCCTAGGCTGAGTGGGGGGTTCCTTTTCCCTTCCCCGGATCAGGTGGGATGCTCTTCACCAGGTCTGCCTCCTCCCTGCTCCTGTCTACATTGCTCAAGCAAGGCGTTACCAACCTAGCACCTTCTGACTGGCCTGCCTGATCTTTGACTGGTGGTGGATATTTTCCTCAATAACAAGTGAGTGCTTATCTTTACACAGCACTGAACAGCCTCCCACCAATGGCCCATGCTGCTCCCCCTCTCAGCACCCTAGAGTCCCCCTCCCAGGCCTGCAGAGTTTGCAACTACAGCTGGCATTTGCCCCTCATGTTTTTCCCCCAGCACCGCTGCAGCTAGGCATGCCTTAGTCTTCCCCCTCAACTGGGGACCCTTACAGTGGATGAACAGCAGATCCCCTGAAAGCCCCCACCAGAAGCCCTGCTCATGGCAGCCTGCCTACCTCAAATGCAGCCAACAGGCATCACTAGGGAGTCTCTGCTGGGAGAGAGAATACATGCAGCTTAGTCTGAGTCTCCAAATCTTGGGATTTGATTTGAAGATGAGAAGTTTAACCAACTTCTCAGGGTGTCCAGAAAGAGGAGTGAATTGCCATGATGAGATGCTAAACCAAGGAATTCATCTATTATCTGCTTAGTGTAAGAAGGAGTTCTGTTAATAGCTAACTTCCTTCTCAGTTAGGCAGTAGCCCTAAGTTACCAGGCATAGCCAGATCACGTGTCAACATTTGTCTCCACTGTATTTTTTAAGGTCCTCCATTTTTTAAGGTCCAGTATTCTCAGCATCATTCTGTATTATTTTACAGGTAAAACCAGGGAAATGCATACAACATCACAATTCTCAGACTAAGACTTGCTACCTGAGCTCTTCCTTACATATGTATGCATGCACACAGACAGAGAAAGAGAGAATTACAGAGTGTTGAAGGGTTGGCATGCCCATTTAAAGCATGTATGCAAAAACACACCTCCAGACTACGAATGCAGTCCTTCAGGGCTCTTTATCTGCCCCTGTGGTGTTCTCCACTGACCAACCCTCTTTTCCTCTGTCCTCACCCCCTTTCCCATAACTATGTATCCTTTGGTGCTTTCCCAGCTTTTGCGTAGTGTTTCTAAAAGGCTGAAATGTGTTCCTGTAGGCATCTTCATTAGCTTTAAGCACTTCAAGATAAGCTCCCATGCCTGTACCTTGTGCTTCTAGCCCTACCACATAGGTCTTTGGCCCTTCCTTCAGTGTCCTGGGGTGCTTGCTCAAGGCAATCTACCTCGGAGGCTAAAGTCCACACCCCTAATTTCAAGCTGTGCTGGAAAAATGCACTGCTTCAATGGGTTAGCCATCTTACCACCAGCTCCTTACCACCATCTACAGGCTCTTCTGCATCCATGCTCAGGAGGGAAGAAGCAATGATCTGGCCCTGCCACAACAATGACATCAGTCTTCAGGGGACAGTAAACCTTGTCTACCATACAAGGGCATGTCCCTGATTGCAAATGAAGGGGTGAACGGAATCAGTTGTACAGAACTATATTGCTAGTTATGCAGTATCCTTGTGTGAACCTGAATTGTGAATTATTTGGAGTGGTGATGGTAAGAATCCCAAATTGAAAAGCTGGGTGTAAATAGAAACATTTCACAACTATGCTAGCCATAGTTCAGCATATGGCAGGCAAAAGCATTTACATTTGGACATTTACATTTAGACAGGCCTTCCTGCCTTGTATGATGAGTTTTATGTCCACTGTAACTGTCACAATTTGTTCAACTGACTGGTGTTTTTATTGCTTTATTGATGTTTCACCTTCTTTTTATGTTTTGATCATTGAACTCAGCTGATCTCAGACCAGTGGGGTACAGGTGGGGATTCTAATATGAGGCAGTGACAGATGCACTAAATTTATTCGAAAATGCATTACATGAAGTTGTAGCGACTTCTCATCCAAAGGAAGCCAAGCCCAAGAATTGCCATGCCCGGACCTGCTTGGCACCTTTCACTTAATGGTTCATGAACTTTATTTAGCTTCTGTACACCTGATTGTCAGTCACTTAATGCCTGGCAGCTGGAAGTGCAAGTCAACTCCAG